CAGGGCGGTTAAACGGAAAATTCCATTTCATGAAACTATTTTTGGAACCAACTAACTGCTCATCCAATTAAGCTCCCGTTGTAAATAACACGATTTTTGTGTGTTTTAACATGCATCTTTCAAACCCATGTTTGGTCTATTCGTCCTTTCCATTGTCCTCAAAAGGTCAGCCAATATTCTCATTATCAATACGAATGGATAGTAGCTTTTCGCACTACATCAAAGATGTAGAAAATCACGCAGTGAGGTTTTGGTGATAAGCAAGGGTGTGCCTCAGAGAATGGGGTGGGGGTTGATGATTTATGCCTCTCTCGTTTACACATTCGGTATACTTTAGAAGCACATTTTCATTATCTGTCTAGTTCATCTGATGATAGCCGAAAGCACGCATGTCTATCGGCGATAATTTATAAGAGTGAATGGTGTTACCACCCCTATCCTCACAGTTGCATATTGTTTCACCTTTTGCCAATTAGTAGTTCTGTTTTGGGCTTTTCAGGCTTTTCTTGTATAGTGTGCTTATATTCCTAGAAGGTAATGATTGACACTTTACACTCTTAAAATAGAGAAAAGTAATGCATTAGTGCACTGGGATATTTACGCTCTTCTCTGTGTGTGCGCGTACCCTCATTTAAGCCACGTTTTGGATGATTAAATTTAACCCAATGTGTGCGCCCTCTTTTTGCCTATTTATTTGCATGATAAAACACGACGTAGGTTTCCAAATAAACTAGCAATACTGTTTACCGTGGTATCCTGAGTTGGTAGAAATTAGAGTTTTCTTTTAGTGACCTTACCTTAATAACCCAACTCCTTAAGTCATGCCAAAGCACTAATAAACCCTCAAATGGCAATTATTAAGTCAACCTCCTATGATTTCACATTAAAAAACTTTCAGTTAAGGAGGTTTTGTCAGTTATATAGATGGAGAGATGTCATCTATCCATCTACCCTTTTTCCTCGGTTCACTTTTTTGATTTGCAACTCTATGTCATCTCTGCTATCACTCGATTTCTTTAAAATGCGAATAGGCTTCTCTCGATACAATGCCATTGTATTAACTCATTGATTTTACCAACCCCTCCTATGTGTGTGTGTGTTGTTTTGGGGATCGGTGTGAATATCTTGCCGTCGTTGCTAAAAAACACAATGTTTGATACAGCCATTATTTTGAACACTTCCGGGATCCGCCATGGCCCCCGTCGATGAAGCATTGGGTGGGGGGGGGGGGGGGGGTCAAAAGAATTTTTATCCTGTTTTGTTACGCCATATCCTCCTACTTGACCTCATTTTACTCTATTTTAGACTGAAGGAAGTGATAACTCATCGACTTCAAAGACTGAGGAGTTGACAGGCAGAAAAAGGAATTCCGAAGAAACTTCTCGGCCACCATCGCCTTCTTCTGCCTCAGTAGCCATTTCCGTTCATGACAATTTGGCGTTAGTGGACGTTGATGTTTTAGGCTCAAATTCAAACGCTCTTATCACGAAGAAGAGGGTAAGTTGATCGATCATGCGCTTGACAATACATGACTTTTTATAACCTTTTTGGCACTTGGTGCATACCATGTATCGGATTAGTTAATTAACATTCTCAAAGAGAACAATTTCAATGTAATTCACTATTATTTTAAGGTAATCTCTAACTATCTTCTGAATATCTTATTAAGCGAACAGAAGAGCACTTCTTCTAACTTTTACCATTCAAAGTGAGTTCGGCTGTAGAATTGATGTTTTAGATGGATTTGTGTATGGCTGTTTCTGTGTATGTGTGTGTGTGTGTGTATTTAGATTTATTGCTTTCAGCTTCCTTTCTCCCAATCCGTTGGGGATTTTCGATACTACGTGAATCTCTTGCACCAATGGTTCTGACAGTCATGGAAATTGAAAAGTTAGGAAGCTAATTGCATTTGCGCATTCAACGTTATGTCCATGCTGGCATATTTGCACAAGGTGGGGCGTACCTGTGTATACGTAGTTAATTTCGGATTCCGAAGGCTGTTTTACCCAAAAAAAAGAATTTGGCTTGTCTTCATCACTACATGTTGTCTGAGGTCGTACGCTCTTTGTCAATGGCCTGCTTTGTGGGTTCGCCAGGCCCACTAGTTTTAGGCGTGTTACTGACATTGAAATTTTCTATATGCCGTTGTGTGATTCACGATGCATACCCTTGAAGCGTGCTAATCTGGGGTTCTCAAGGTCATCGACCAGAGTTGCTAACGCGACACGCACCTAGAGATGGCCTAGCTACCATCGCCCCTCTTCCTCCTCTTGTCTTAAAACCAATCGTGCGTTTTAGAGGCTTGATAGTCATATTTGAGGCGCAATTAATCTTCCACTTTCACCATAATCCGATATAGAGAAATACAGAATCAATCCGTCTGCTTTGGAGTGAGATGATGAATCGATGTAAGCTGCTATAGACTGGAGAATGGAAAAAAACCCGCGTTTACCATTTTAGTAACTGGGTTTCGTCGAGAATGGGAAAACGTTTTCTCTATAAAAATAGGAGTATCACTACCGCTCTTGCATTTACACTTGGTAATCTCCAAGCTCTACTTGCGAATTGACTCAGCTTCATTTTATTGAAAAAAAAATAAAAGGAAGAATTCTATTTGATCATAGTGTGAATGTATAAATGTCTTGATGTGAGATATTTCTATCGATTTTGCTTCTACTATCACGTTTTGATGTTTTTTTTTCCCAGATATCTGTATTAATTGTATTAATTTGGACCTTCGACGAAGTATATAACAATACTGGATTTTATTATTCAGTTTGAGAAGTTTATTTATTTATATCAAATGGCAGGCTTTATGATAGTTATAATTATGCCCTTTGTTGACTTCGGGCTTCACAGAAGGAGGAACAGACAAAGTCACCAAAGTCGAGGAGGAGAGGGGGGGGAGGCAGAAGAGTGATTCACAGATGTTAAAGAGACAGACAAACGCAAAGGTAGAGAAAAGGTAAGATGAGAATTGTGGAAGGGGTCGAATATAACATGTAGTGGGGTCATGATAGTTTGGAGTGAGAAGTCAACTGCCAGTTTATAGACTTGTTTGCCGTGGGCGTATACGTTACCCAGGTTGCACCACGTGGAGGCAGGTCTATCACGCACCCCAGTTTGAGAAGCTTCATGATGTATTTGAATATGGAAGAAACCACTTGTGTGGGCGGGTATATTCTATTACTATGCTTATTAGATTATATTCAATAAATTCACTTGGTAAAATGTATTGAGTTGCATTCAAACAGAAATTAATGTCTGTTTTTTTTTCAAACAAACTTAGATTATGTCGCTTTTCATGCCATGCAGTGTTAGTCCTTGCTCATTCTCATTTTTCGCATTAGTCATTAGAAGAATGCAGTAAAAATGAACCGCGTCCTAGTATTGACGACGATGAAAATTCTTATCAAAAAGCTAAGCGCCAATCACCGACTCTATCACCACCCCCTTCGGCAGACAACCGACCCTCAGAGAGTATAAATCCACCACAGCACTATACTCAGGTCCCCGTTCCATCAATTAAGCGTGACTCCAAGCCATCTAAATTGTCTATACCTTGTCGACGAAAAGCTGCGAGCCCCGGTCGCTCCTCTCTTGTACCCGGCACTATTGTCTCCCAGACCACCACCAAGTCCTCTTCCTCCTCCATATGCAATATTCCCTCTCGGAAGACTACAGAGAATCTCTCTCCTCCAGGCTCTCGTATAATCACCATCAAACGCGGTCCTCATGGTTATGGATTTATTCTCCGAGCCAAGGATGTCTTCTATGGCAATTCGAGCGATTACACTCTTCATCACATAGTTGAGAATGTTGATCGGAAAGGACCTGCTTATGCTGCTGGTCTTCGAGCTAATGATCTTATCTTGCGAGTAAATGGACGAGAAGTTGTAGGTCGACTGCATACAGATATTGTCCAGATGATCTGCTCCTCGCCTTCCAGTCTCCGTTTGGTTGTGACAACCTTTGCACAAAGTAACATCAAGTCGGATGGAAAGTGGAGAGTTCGAGGAAGACTAGTATCGCGAGCTAGTCGACGACTGAAGACGCCTCTCACTGTGAAAACTACTGCTGCTGCTAAAGCAGCGGTGAGTTCAGGAGAGGAGTCTGGACTGGAGAGTGTTAGTGGTGCTGGAAGTGGCGGCCTATGTCGAAGATGGTTAAAGCACTCTGCTTCTACTCGTCTACCTGTTTGTCCCTCTACTTCTAGTAGTAGCGGAATTCCAAGTCCTGGTCTTGCTCCAATGGTAACTGAGAGGCGACAGAGACATAGAAACGCAATTGATACTTCGAAATCGAATGTGATAGCAGCGTCTCCTCCGACCGTTACTTCAATTCAAAAATCGACGGGAAGTCCGTTGGATGAATATTCTCGACATCATAGCAATAGTTTCTCCATTTCGGGCAAGAGAACTGAGGCTGCCCACGTATCTAGTCGATTTCATCCTCAACCCAGAAGGTAAATGAGATTTTAATGTTTAGCTTTCTTGAGAACTATTTTTGAGATTTAATTACAGTTCTACCTGATAGAATTGTGCTTTATTGTTTTAGAGTGTAGTCTCACACTCAACTTGGCCCACGTCTGTAACGAGTTAATAGACAATTAGACTGAATGATTTTTCCATTTAATGGCTCGATAGTGGCGGGGTTGAGTGGACATGAACAAAGCTAATATGTAGAGTAGTTTGATTGGTCTTGTTGGTTTCAGAAACTCTATAGTAAGATTTATATCCACCCTTAACCATTGCGATAGTTCCAACGAAACGTCAAATGCCTGATTGCCGGTCAGTCTACAAGTTCAGTTGCGGCATTAAATAGTAATATGGCTTCATTCATAGGTGTTCCACACATGCGGTTGAACAGTAATTAAATTCCACACCATCTTATGAGCTATTTTGCGCCTTTATTTCATCCTTGACGTATTTGATTTATGATAGAAAATTACTCCTTTTATTTTCTCTCAACGTTAGTGTAATGCAGTAGAATGTAAGGTAGCAATAAGCCATCCTTTGTGTTGGTGAGCTTTAATGATCTCCCTATGTGATAATTCGACTGTTTGCTACCCTCATATGAATTATCTGAGCACCCGAAACGTAGAATTTGATCAAGGCTTACTCTTTAAGGTCATATTTTGTCTCTAGCAGGTGTTTGTTTCCTACACATGGTTTGGAATCTTCTGTAAAGGTTGGGTTAAACGGTTAGAAAAGTGCTATATTTATGTTGGTTTGGTTTTGCGAATGACGAATTATCTCGGGAGACATTACTGTACGAGGGATTTCACAGTAATTTATTCCAATTATGCTAAGAGCAATGCATGCTGTGCAACACCATCAGACTCAGAATTCTAATGGGAGTTGGGAGGAGAGAGAGAGCACCAGGGAGGAAATTTCCCACCAATACTTTTATTATGCATAAATGCAAGTATTATGTTCGCCCACTTCCCCATGGGGATTTCTTATCCCATACCTGGGTCTAGCCATCCTCTCCTACTACCGCTCACAATCCCTTTGAACAGATCCTAATTGTTGAGCCTGTCATGGAAGTTGAGATAGTGCAATCTAATAGGCTGGAGGTGGATCATGTTACATATTGTACCGATGGCAAACGGTATAATTTCATATCTTCGAAATCAGATTTCACAAGTTCGATGCTGAGTTAACGAAATGATATTAGGCATATTAGTTAAAACAAGTGAAGTGGTGGAGCACCAGTTTGAATTTCTCTTCGCATCTCCTCTTATCGCGATGTCTATGTGGTGGCATATATATATATATAAGCCTTATATCGATTAATCTAACACTAGAATTACAGGCCTTTTGGGTGCTGGTATTTTATAGCTTCGTAAATATGCATGTGGTTGGGGAATGTGGTTAAAACATAAATCTCCCCGCGCGCAAAATGTCATTGGTACAAGATTCTTGCATCTTTCCTATTTACGGCGATTGCACTAAGAGAGAGAGAGAGTAATTGAGATGGCAGTTTTCTACTTTGAATCTTCCCCGTTTTTTTTCTGTTTAGCCCTTTCGTGTCAAATGGGGGCATGCATGCTAACCATGTTAGAGGCAATTTCTTGGCGTAGTTAAAGATACTGGAGATGTGTGTGCATGGTCTTCATGTCAGAGATTCGCACAATCTGTTTTAATTGTCTCTATTGGTCATTGACAACCTGGGAACTTCGATGTGCTTTACCATTTCGAAGGTCCAATTTTATTAGATCTTTTTAGTAAAACGGATCAATTTAATCCAGTATTTAGAATCCTGTTTGGGTTAAAGGCATGTAGGGTTGTTAACACTCCATGCAAGGGATACCGGAATATAAGTAATGGATTCGCCTTTTCGAATTTTTCCCTGTTTGTTATTTGTGACCGGGGGAAAGGGTTCGCCTTAGCTTATTTCTGGTTTTTTGATTTTAGTATATAATTGTATCATTTTATTAGATTTGGTGGCAGCAGCACTGTTCCAATTTTCATAATTTCCGAGCGACTAGTTTTCCCACGATAACGGCACGGCCTTGAATGCAGAAATACCCGTTCCTCCACATCACAACATCGTGCGCAAAATTTCAAAGCCCCCCCCCCCCCTCCTCTTGACAACGTTCATTTTTAAACGGGTTTTTTTGTACCCCTCTATAATTTTCGCTCGTAAAAGAACAATTTCTTTATGAGAGAGAGAGAGAGCAATCTGCTTGTGTTCTAGGTTTATTGCCATTAGAAGTCATTATTCTCTTATTTTCCTAACTACCAAATTTTACTCCAACAGTTTAGAAAAAGGAACTAGTTGACAATGCTGTTGTACGTCATTATTTGTTCCGTGCTCGAAGATTGCGTCAGATATTGGCTTTTGATTGGTGCTTTGTTAACAAATGAGCAAGCTGGCTTTGTGTGCCTACGTCGGCGGTTTTCTCATATATTCTAGCAACCTTAAAATTTAAGACACACACGACAATGAAGCCTTTTCTTGCTAGAATCTTTGTGCGTAGTAGCTCCTAGGGCTTTCTCTTACACATATCCATATTAGGACAAGTCTCTAAGGTAAATTTCGTCTGCATGTTAGTTTTGTGATTTCAAAAAGAAAGGAAGGCTTTCTCCTCTAATATTGCTTCTATAGGCTTTTATTACAGTGTTGCCACTTGCACAATACGTGGGGGGGAAATGCAGCGTTCTCCTATTGGTCCATGCAAAGCTTGGGATGGAATTTCAGTGGAAAGGAGCTGAAGCGAGTTGCAATCATGTACGCGCATTTTAGAGGGGGAAGGGGGAGGAATGAGGGAATTGCAGCAGTAGAGAGAGGAGACAAAAGTGCACACCCTTCAGCAGGGATTTGCATTCTCCGCTCAAATGCATCAAATGGTATATACAGTGGGGGTAATATCCACTTGTGAGGAGAGAAATCGCTTCGCGGTACTGCGAAGGGATGTTGTTGCACTAAGTGGGGAATAATATTGCAAGAAAATTTACCGAGTAAACAACTTAAGGTGAATAGTTAACTGAATTCGGCTTGTTCTGTTCTCGATTTTCGGTGGAAAACAAACCTTTGATGTGTATGTTACGTACGCACAAATAAGTACAAAAGACCCGGAATGCTCCATAGTGATTGCGCAGTAACTGGAATGCGTCTTAGTTCTTACTTTCAATTAGAACTGCTTAGGCAGACGGACAGAGGAAGGAAGTCAATCGTATATATCCATTGTATTTCAACAATGGCTTATTATGTGTGATCGCGGATACCACAGTCTTCCGCCTCGAAGAATTGTAGGTCCCGCTATTTTCCCTGTGATAGGACGGATTTCCCTTTAATCTCTCTCTTGTTCCTAAATTTATTCTGCTTGAAATTACCGAGAGAGGAGGGTTATGCAGTCACTCATGAGGTGTCGCCTAAATACTGGAATTTCATTTATTCAAGGAATGTGTGCATATTTTTTTTATTTTGCTCTCCCTTCAATAGAAATTCATTATTTGCTCCTATCTATCCTACTTTATTGTTAAGAAGCAGACAAGGATTGGATGCCTTTCAATTCACCTGTTTTTAAGCAATTAAACTTGTGAATTTCGCCTCTAAGTGGCTTAGAATTCTTCATGTCTTTAATGAGATGTGCGGAAACTAACTTTGTCCTCTTTCGTTCCCATTTGGAGGTAACTTGAAGATAATTTCTTATTCAAATAAATTTAATTTATCGTTGGATTGCTATTTCCAAGATTAAGTAGTTGCTTTCAGTTAGGCTACTGAAGATTCACTCCTGGACTTTCAAGCGCACCCCTAAACGAATATGCTAGAGGGAGGGGTAATGATAGTAATAGTACTTTTCAAGTCTATTTTGGAAGGCTTTTCCCAACGCCCCTCTTGCATTGTGGGTCGGCTCATTGGGGATTTCGCATTCTAATAGCTAATTAGGGACACTATTCTAGAAGCCCCATCTTTTGTCTTATCCAGATCCACGGAGACACCTCTGTTCAGACAGTTGAGTGAACGCAACCGCTGCGCAGCTCGTTGTCAAGTCACCTCTCTGGACACTCACACAGCCGCCTTCTCTTGCAGTCCCATCTCAATCAGCACTAGTAGTGGTGGAATGAATGTTGAAGGAGGTGAGAGTGGTTCTGGGGCTTGTTCTCCCCAGCTCATTTATCGACCCACGTTTGGTGAAGCCGAACGGGGTGGAGCTACCACGAGGCCCACTCTCTGTGTCACCCCACCTGCTTCCAGCCCTATGTCTACGCTAACACCAACTCACATACCTGCTCCTAGCGTAAGTTTATTTCTTCTCTTTGCTATATGTATCAATGTGTACCTCGGTGCATCAAAAGTATAATTGATATGAATATTCGCTGTATACATACATACATACATATATATATAGCTGTCTCACTGGTCAGTCAATCCATCTAATTACCGAAATTTGCTTATAAACATGTCAATTTTTCCGTTGAAATGTGAAGAGGTCATCACTATCTTTTCAGTTAACCTGTTTTCATCCTCAGTCTTGATGGGTAGCTGATGTCAAGGCCGCCATCGGGGATAACAAAAATAGATGGTAATCGAAAGATTTCGCTATCGAGTGTAGGATCTTACTGCCTATTGAGATTAGATCGCTGACATTTTATGGTTTTCTGTGAGCGGATAATAGTTTAGGTTTCCACCATTAGGGGGGATATTATTCTCTCTTGGGGAAAAAGTTCATCCGAATAAATTTCTGCCGAGCTAGCAGCTGTTGCAATTAACTGGTCACTTCAATCACTTGATGGGATTACCTTTAAGGTCGAAATTGGCGTGAAGAGAACTTCATATTTTTCTCCTTTAGTAGTATTAGTAGTAAATCTATCACACCAGGCGAGAATGCCCCTTTTCCTTGCATGTGCTTAATTCGGTGGAATCTGCAAATAATAGTATCTACGGCACGATTTGCTCTCATGCCTGTTCTTTCATCATTAGGCCATTGTCCCTCCCCCCCCCTCCCCCTCTTTGTTGATTCCTATTCACCTTAGTTGCAATATAAATTACAGGACTTGAAGTGCATTCTTTAAGATGTGCGTGTGTGTGTGGATGCGGAAAAGGGATAGGGAGAGATGGATGATATGTCACTACCTCTCTCACTTTGTTGCAATATCCGGTAATCTGTTTTGCTATGAGCTAAAGTGTGTGTTTATTCTCCCTACACAAAGTAGTGATTTGCTAAATGCACTTAAAAGCCCTGGAGCGTTTATTTCTTGGGGAATTAGAGGGGGCTTATTTGAAGTGACTCCGTGCTACCGGATGTTAGCACTTACTTTCAAATCTCCATTTCTATTGGTGGCATTTAATAAGTCAAATGCAAATTAGTAATTTCCTTAGGGGGCAGTACGGGTATACGTCCAACCCTGTGCATTTTATTTTATGACATATTACTAACAAGAAATGAGGATGGGAAGGAGGGGGTGTGGTTTGAAATTGCGGAGAGAATATGTAACACCTCAATGATTTTGACTTCGTGTGTTTATTTTTCGCCTCAGAGCTAGAATATTCCATGTTTCGGATTCAAAATTTGGTTGCAAAGATTACAGATATTTGTACTCTCGAATGTTCTAGTCGCATTACTATACCCATAACAAGGCAACATGTCGTTCACTTTTCATATTTGGTGGGCAGCTGGAATCCGTTTGAAAGTTATTGGGAATAAATCGAGGTGTCAAAGAGACGACTTGACTTACCTCATTTTAATTTTGTATTAAGTGCTATTACAATATTTGGTCTACTACTTCATGTTTTACGATGCAAATTTTGCAATTCGCCCCCCCCCCCCCCCACCCCAGGTTTCTCTCCAGTTTCAAGGTCTTATTGACTGTTTGATTAATTCCGTTGGTTGATTATGTCGCGCCAACGTGTATGCCCTTCTTCCAAAGACCTTAGAGGATAACCTGAGTGAACTCATCATTGCGCATAGCCCACTCAATTTGAATCGTAATAATTTAAGTTAGTTTCCTTAACATGTTGACTTATGGTATTCGGTATCTCGTGGAATTCGTGTGATATTTAGGTTTCTATTCATTTCACACCCATTTATTTTCTGATTTTCTATGGATTGGAATTGTGCAGTTCACCAGCCTGGTATTTCTTAACAAACTTAGACAGCCAGGATAGCATGCCTACGTTTACACTTAGAAACATGTGTAATCGTCTCTCATTTTTTTCTCTCCTTCTAGACAATACAGCATCAACCTTCCACGTCCTCACCCAGCATCAGAAGTTCAGAGGAGAGTTCTAGCGAGCAGGTACGTCTACGTAGAAGGCGACGTCAAAGTTTCTCTAATAACAGTGTTCAATCCCCTGCTGATCCCGACCACATCAAACCATCCTCCACGTACGGTCCAACTGATATGTAACCTTATTGTCGACCTCCAATCCCAGTTCCATCGCATACTCATGTCTTTCTATCAACTCATCATCAAGTTTTGAAGCCTGATTGCGCTATATGGGTGCACATTTTAACTCCCCCTCGGGTTCCATGTGTATATATTCCCCCCAGTGTGCCAGTTACTCCCACAACTGAATGCATTATATGACAGCTTTGATGTTGTGTACTATTTTCCTCTCTGTGCATTCATTACGAGTAGTAGTATATTACTTAAATTAAAGGAATTTGTGATTTATTTTGTACTTTGCAGTTGGGTCGGTACGATAATGGATATTTCACTAGATAATGAATGAATACTAGGATGCCATTTCTCGAGTTAAAAAGAAAAACAATTAAAATTATGGAACTTTTGACTTATTTGAGGATAATGTGGGCATACACGTGTTTTTATGGATCATAGTTTAGCATTTTTTGCTAAATTATTGTCACGTGGTTAGACATCACACGCTCTTTCTCTCTCCCTCTCCCCTCTCTGGGGGTATTGAAAGACCGAGAATGCACAGCTATCCAAAGTTAGGACCTAAGCGTTAAACAAAGGTTCACCGGCACCCACTTTACGAAAAGGGCAAGTTTTCTGGTGTCTACCCTTAAGGTCAATATTGTTTTGGTTTTAATATCTAAGCCCCTTTCATTTCATACTGATACTGGAAAAGGGAGTCTTGGTCACTTCATTAGGACTTCGATTCCCAGAGTTTACCCACTGATTTGTACTTAGATCTGAGTCTGGTCGCTTAAATGATATAGCGTGAAGTTATGGATTTCGGATAGGTGTTGTCGGTTTCTAACACATCTGATTCTCTTTCAATGGGCTCAATTAATTAACATTACGTAATTACGATTATTCTAGAGAATAATTTGTTGCTAAACCACCCCTTCATCGAATCTTATTTATGAAGGTTACTCGTCTTATTCCTTTAGCACGTGATGTTGGTCACAACCCAATTTTTCAACGTCATTGCGACAATATTGCCGAATAGTATTTATACATATATCATTAAAAGAAGATTCCGCAGCAATAAATTTAGACGTGAGTTCCAATGGCTTTGATTTTGGAATGAAACGATTAATGTCTTCCTCATTGTACTTCCTCAATGATCCGTTGCCATCGTTACAATTGACCACCTTCATAATTTGAACGCCGAGAAATCATTGGACCTCTTTACAATGCATTTGTATAAACAAGCCTAATCTGAATTTTTGCTCCAATTGGCTTTGTGTTTATGAAAATTCAGTAAAGCATGAAAGATTTCAGCTTAATTTATAAGAGTAAATGTATCCACAATGGCCAGTAGATGCCTAAGTCTGCCAAAGAAGTGTAGTTATTGCAATAACTTTGCATAACCTGCGCGAGTGTTGGGTAACTAAGTCATCTAATTTTGAAAGAAATTGAAAACTTAAACCCACTAACGGACAGCACAATTGCAGTTCTTGACCACAGACTAGTATCCAATTTCAGTAAACACTATAGGAATCTAACATGATGTGAAACAACTCGACAAGTCTAGGAGCGTAGCACCACGCTGTCTCCCTGGTGAAAAATTCGAATTTTACCACCTCATCTCCCAATTAGTAGCCTGCCTCAACTAGCCCCATTAACCATTTCATGGATATGCAACACAGCCATAACTCCCAAATTCGCAAGCAAAAAAGTCAGCCATTGCTACTTTTCTTATTAATAAAAGTTGAGGGAAAGGAGATCGAGTTGAGTAAGTTCCAACTTCAAATGGGTCGTGTCATGACTCTATGAGTTACAGTGCTTCAGGCACGATTGTTCAGTAATTGATACAATAAACTGAAATGTGAAGAAGTAATCTTTTGGGGCACTTTTCTGTCTAATGGAACTGTTACATGCATACAACGTAACCTGTGCAGAGTAGATGAAATTTCGAGAGAACTATTAATAAAAACACATACATCAATTTCAAGAAAGCTGAAAACATCTTCAGGAATTCAAATAGATTTGGAAAAAAGAATAAATAGATTTGGTCACTGAGACTTTTAAAAATAGGGAATTAAAAATGGGTCCAAACACAAAGCTTGATGGAAAATTGGTGAAAATGAAAAACGGAATCCACTCTAACAAAAACGATGGGACATGTGGATAAGTCTTTATGAATATGGGTAGACGTGTTATTCAAACGAGTAGGGGTTGGTCGGACGTCTCTGAAATGTTCCTTTAAACGGGAAGAATATGACAACGGGTCTATGGGGGCTTGGTCTTGGAAGTTAGAAATCATCTCTCCAGGAAGCCGGAGCGTTGTGCCAAGAACGAGTTCCGCTGGGGAGCATTCGAGATCCTCCTTGATAGTATTTCGCACGGAGAGAAGAATGATTGGGAGACGTTCCGCCCAGTTTAAGCCAGAAGAAGTAGCGATAAGGGCAGACTTAAGCTGTCGGTGAAAACGCTCGACAAGACCATTGGCTTCGGGGCGATAAGCGGTATTGCGGATGTGTCGATCCCAAAAGGTGATTTAACTCCCGGAACAGCGAAGAGGTGAACTGGGATCCTCTGTCTGTCGTTATAAGGGCTGGAACGCCGAACATGGATATCCACGACTATATCAGTGCCTTCGTCACCGATGACGAAGAGATATCGCGTAAAGGAACCGCCATTGGCCATCGTGTAAAACGGTCGATACATGTTAAGATATGCGTGAAAGAGTTCGATCGTGGAAGCGGGCCAACGATATCAACATGAATATGTCGGAAACGGGCTTCGGGGAGAGGAAAGTTGTAGATTGGGCTGTGGGTATGCTTTTGCACCTTGCTGGCCTGGCAAGTGAGACAATTTTTGGACTACAGGCGGACGTCCTGTCGGATGCTCTTCCAGACGAACCGATCAGTGATCAACTTCGTTGTGGAACGAATGCTCGGATGCGACAACCCATGAAAATGGTCGAAAA